AGGGATAAGGGGATGGGGGATGGGGGGATGGGGGCGAGGGGCCAAGAAAGGCACAGTGCGGGGCGAGGGGGCAAAAAGTGCGTCAGCGCGGGGTGAGGGAGCCCCGGGGCTCCCAAGGCGCAGAAGTGGCCCAGGCCCGCCCACGTGCATGCGGGGCTCTGGCCTGGGTCGCTGCGCAGGGGGCCTCAGCGTGCTGAGCGCGGTGACAAAGCGGGCCGCGTCAGTCTGCCAGGACTGAGGGGGCTGGAGGTCGAGAGCAACAGTTTTAATTTTTAACTAGAAGGAGCTCCGGTGTCTGGAATTAATTTAACTAGCATTTCACAGATGTTACTCATTTCAGAAGTCATGTCAACCACGGAATCTGAGTGCGGTTAGCAGGTGGTTCCCTTTTGAAGCACCCAGACTTGCTTAAATCTTGCTTTGTAGTAAATATGCAATTGGGAACTATAATTACTTTTTCTTAGTGGAAAATATCCAAAATAAGTATGAAAGCATTTTTTATGTTCTCAGAATAACACTAATTAGTTATCTGTTTCTATGATGTTGAATCAGTTTGTTATTTTTATTTTTTAATATTTTTGGCGGGTCAGGGATAGCGTGGAGGCCTAGCTGACCTACGCGGCAGCAGAGCGCTAGCTTGGGAGTCAGCCTTTTACTTCCTCCTCGTAGCAATGACTGGCCAGGAGAAACAAATACCTTTTTAAATTGTTAAGTTGTATTAGGATGAGCAACGCTGTGAGCGCCGCTGTCCAAAGCGCGACAGCCTTCCTCAGGGAATCCAGAGGGCAAGGGCGTCGTGTGACGCAGGGCTCGACTGCTGTGGCCTAACGCACTGACAGCTGCAGGAGATGGAAAATGTGTATTTTATTTCTGAGAAAGGTATTTCCTAAGAAGACGTAATTTGTGCTTTCTGTTGTTCTGAGACAGTATGTAGACACTACAGAGTTCAAGCTGACCTTGAACTCACTGCGTTGCCCAGGCTGGCCTCCAATTTGTAGCCATCCTCCTGCCTCAGCCTCCTGCAGGCTGAGGTTATAAGCATGTACACCACACCTGGATCGGAAGATTAATTTGTGTTTAATCAGAATCTGAAGTAGCATAAGATCGCAGGCAGTCGCCCAGGTCTTGGCATGTTGTCTGCAAGCTGATCATAAAAATGACAGTGGTGCCTCAGTTCACAAAAATGGTTCGCAAACAGAAGCGCTTGAGGAAATTTTGCTTCTGCCTGCAAGCTTGGCATCTGCCGATAAGCTGGCCCCAGCCGTCCTTCCCACACCAACACCAACATGGTCACCTTTCCAAAATCATGGACCAAATGAACTTCACGAACCAAGGTACTGCTGTATTATGTTAGAGAATAATGCCGACTTGGGGGAGTCATATGACAGAATCAGCTGAGAAAGGTGTAGCGTGATTTTTCCCATATATGCAGATTCTTACCTTCAAATTTTCTGTTCAGTAATAGGGCAAATCTGGGTTAAATTTTAACCCTTCCTCTTCTAATTTTCTGTGTGGACTGGGAAGAGTCAAGCTTTCCACTTTCTCCCTGAGAAAGGAACAGAAGTCAGTCAGTCTATTTTCTCAGATATAAATAACTCGGAAGCAGCCAATAGACAAAGTCATTCTATTTATTTATTTATTTTTGAGGTACCGGGGATTGAACTCAGGCCCTTGCACTTGCCAGACAAGTGCTTATTCTGCTGAGCTAACTCCCCGGCCCAACAAAGTCATTCTAAAGAGAAGCTTGAAGGAAAAAGAACAGACCGGAAGGGTGCTAATGGAGCATAGTAATTGGCTGCAGTTATTGCACTCCTTTCTGAGCTGTTACGAATTTGGAATCCCACGTTCATAGGAGTGAAAAATGCTCCTCGGAGCCGAAGTGAAATGGTTTACGGGAGCCCACACAGTGGGTATGCTGACCCTCCTAATCCACGTCATGGTTTCGCAACCCCAGAGCGCAGGTCCAAGCCCTCCTGGGCGAGTGTGGCACTCTGGGGCCCTGAGTGTCCTCACGCACCGTCTGGGGGACGCCCAGCTCTGTGTCACCGTGTGGTCCCTGTGCCAGGTGTGGCACTGCTTTGTGGGACTGGCACTAAGCTAGCAGACGTCTCCTGCTGCACACTCTGCCCCCTGCGCTGCCTGGCGTCCTTGGGTCTCCGCTTGGACAGGGTCTGGAACCCAGCTCTGGCCCTGCTGTTGTGGCCACAGTTCCCATCCTGAGGGAGGGGAAGGCAGAGACTGAGGGAGCCAGCGGCAAACAGCAGTGGGGAAGCCTAGGCGAGCCTAGGCGTCCACACAGAGGCAGCAACGCAAGAACAGCCCCAGGGCTCCGAGCCCCTGCCTTGCAGAGCTCCCCGCCCACTCCCTGACCCGAGCGAGCGCAGGGCCATCTGAGAACTCGCTCCGCGCAGGGCCATCTGAGAACTCGCTCCTCTCGGCTCAGAAAGCAAGACTGTTGTCTTCCCTGGTTTTAGTTTAAGTGAACTTAGCGTTTCCTGCTTCACTTCCTAACCGATTTCCTCTCGGACTGGAAGAATAGACTGTAGGTACACTGGTGCCGTCTACCTAGGATTGATGGGACGCTTGTTTTCTTCCTTTGCAGTATGGAGAACTAAGTCTTGATGCTATAGATAAATTAACCCACAGATTTCAAAACCCATGGTAAGTACATGCAAATACGTTTTTCATTAATGAACTTCCTACCTAAATTAGTAACAAAGTTACCTTTTCTTAAGCTTTTCGTAGTATGCTACCACTTTGTTTCATATAGATTTAGGGTTGTTATGGAGTTTAACTACTGGTAATTACTATAAATTTTCACTATCTTCTGTCTTAATGGAGAGAAGGAAAGAAGTAAGGCAGACAGTAAGAAGCTGCTGGACTAGAGAGAGGAGCCTCGAACCTGCAGCTCTTAGAGTGGCAACTGCTGGTGAGGAGGGCAGCCACCGCGCTGCCAGCTCGTGCTGATAAAGGCAGCACCGGAAAGGCGCAAAGGAGACTGGCTGGGTGGATCAGCTTTGATGTCTCAAACAATGCTTTCTGTGGAAAATACCGTTTTTGTTTAAAAACAAAAAACTCGTCTAGTTCTTTTGGCCTAGAAACCGTAATAACGGGGCAGCTCAGCTGCCAGGCACGCGGTGGTGCGGATGCACACGGAAGTAAGGCAGCTTCTCCCAGATTAAACATGTTCCGCTCAGTGCTGGTTCAATTACAGGAAAAAAGCAAACTCTGGGCTTGTCATCCAGGTGAGCACGTGGCTCGGATGGTGGAGGAAGGCTCCCACCTGCACCACTGCCTGAGACGCAGACCCCAGGCCGTCCCGGCTGTCGTGGGCTTGTGGGCAGGGGGGCCCCTGAGACTTGCTTCACCTTGTTTTTAATTTTTGCAGGATACAGTTATTAGCATGTACAACATTATTAGATGTTAGTCTCTTTTTTGCTAAAAACCACAGCATGAAATAGAGAAGAACTTCCAGATCTATATCAAAAGCCTATGCGGAGGGCCGGGGAAATGGCTCAGTAGGATAAGCGCTTCCCTGGCAAGCGCAAGGGTCTGAGTTCAATCCCTGTTTCTGCAAAAAAAAAAAAAAAAAGCCTATGCGGTCTTATTCCAGGAGAGTGAGAGACCTCTGGGCAATTCTTATAATTTATTAGGAATATGTCATACTTAAAGATGCTCAGAGATAACATCTTATCTCATGAAAATTAAAAAAAATTATAATATCAAAATATAATATATAATAAATGTATTGTATAAAAGTAAAATATTTATGAAATGTTATATAATAAAACATGTAATATATACTATAAAATGTTATAAAATATAATACATATAATACTAAAATATAATTATTATATTACAATCTAATTAATTTGTTTAAATAACGTTGCTGGCATCCAATGCAAATACCCTGCCAAGTATTTCTACACACACAAAAATCAGAGGCCACCAAAAACCAAGGAAATTTTAACAAGTGTTGACGAAAGTGTGAAACATGGAGGACGCCCTCCACGGTGCTCCTGGAAACATCAGGAACCTGCAGCAGTGACTTCCAGGACCAAAGAAGATGGCTTTCAGCCCAGAATCCTGTGCAGCCAGCGATCACAGGGAAAGACAGAGCAGAGCCAGGGGAGGCTTTTCCCAGGAGAAAGTGTTTCCTTGCAAAACAAGGAGAAAGAGGACCGTGGCCGGGCACGTGGCACACGCCTGTGATCCTGCACTCAGGAAGCCACGGCAGGAGGATCGCGGCAGTTCAGTCCGGCCTGAGCCAAAGTGCTGTGGCTGCAGGTGCCAGGAGCCACTGGGGTGCTGGGCCGACAGCAGAGCTGGTGCCTGCGGTGAGGCACGGGGTGGGCACGAGTGGACGGCCGGGCAGCCGGGGGCAGTTCATCACCGTTATTGTTACTGTCAACCCTTTGGTGCTATTTCCACATGTTAACTACCAGTTCTTAAATTCTGTTACAACTGAAAAGGGCAATGTGTTTGCTGTAAACACATCCACAAATATTTTACTTGGTAAAAAGAAAAATTAATTATACTATGGGAGAAATAGTCACCTGGAATGTTAGTAGTTAGCACTCCTAAACGGAGAAGCGGTGTCCATCGAAGGCCAGGCCGTGGGCGAGGCAGTGGTCGCAGGGGATACAGGCACCATTGATCCAGGCAGTGGAGCTACATCATGCGCGCCTGTTTTACTCCAAAAAACACAGCCTGCGCCTTTAGGCCAGCACAGGCTTCACGACACCACTATTTTAAAAACTGGTACAGACCAGGCGCTTGTTTCTTGGGGTCATTTCCTCAGCGCATCCCTAGATCCTGTAGCACGCTGCTCGTAAGGCTGTCAGGGCCCAGTGGCGCGGAGGCTTGCAAGCAGTGGGCGCAGAGTTCTGTGGCTCTGGAGACCCAGGGCAGCACCGTCCTCTGTGGCCCTGAGCTCTGACGGTCCAGCTGTACACAGGGCACACAGCTGTCGGCGCTGGGCCTCAGGTCACCCCTGCACGCTTGCAGCAGGCCCACACAGGACCTGTCACCCAGCAGGTGTAAGCTGCAATCATTTTGAGGCGTTCCTTGGCCTTGGGTACTTCAAACGACACCGACCAGTCAGCGTCTGCTCAGCGTGGCAGAAATCCACTAAGTCCAAGGGGTGGAAAGGTCTTGAAGACAGGCGTTGTGGCAACGCAAGCAGAGATGGGCTCACGGGAAGGCGAGGAATCTCCCGGGGGACAACCAGATAGAGGATGATAATTCAACCAGCGGTCACCAGGCCTTGCTAGCCCGAGATGCACCTGTGTGCTCAGCAGGATGCTGTCATAAATGCAGGGTTTGGGTCAGTTCCGGGCTTCACTCCATGCCAGTGAAGCCCATGGTCCCCGACAAAGAGATTCTTCATCTCTCTAGCAGTGTTTGCTGGCTGAACCTGGCAGCCAAAGAAAAGCCAAGGAAGAGACCATGCCCCCTGCTTGTCCCCTGTTTGGTCCTGAGGATTGAACCTGGACCTTGGCAATGAACTGCATTCCCAGCCCCAGCATGGTTTATTTTTCCCAGATGGGGTTGCATTAAGTCACTATGTTGCCCAGGATGGGTTGAAACTTTTGAGTGTGCAGCCTCAGCCTTCTGGAGTGCTGGGACTGCAGGTGTGTGCCCCCAGGCCAGGCCACGTCATCATGCGTAGGAGGAAAGCTTCCCAGCCCATCTCTTCGTGCCTGGGGGAGAGCTCGGTTCAGGCCAGAATGCGGCCTTTGCCCCAGCTCCTGAGCCTGGGGTCTGAAGCCTTTGGAAGCAGGCGCTGTCCACTCGCTGCCCAGCCCACTGCCTCTCAGCACTTCCAGGGTCGAACTGTGGCTCTTGCACCACATTTGAAGAGACCAGGGCAACCTGGAGAGACTGCTGGTCTCCAATGTGGCTTATGGCAACCACATCAAAGCACAGGCTGCAGATCAAAGTGTCAAGGTGAGCACAGAGGCCACGGCTGCAAGGGGAAGGGAGGTCCAGAGGTTTCCACGATTCTCAGTTCAGCTTTGAGACATCAGGAACATACCCAGGTAGTGGCAACTGCAGGTCAGGAACATCGAGTAGCTTTTACCAAATGCTGCAGTACAGTAACAGCCTGCGCCCCTGCGCTAGTTTCGCCACCGCCAATCCCTCCCGCCACCGCCAATCCCTCCCGCCACTGCCAATCCCTCCCGCCACTGCCAATTCCTTCCCCCCCCCCTTTTTTTTTGGAGCCTGGGTCCCTCGCAGGTGCCTGTAACCAGCAGACCCCAAGTGAAATGTGCATGCCACACACACCGTGCTCTGTCCCCAGTGGGATGGGAGCCCAGGCTGTGGGCAGGGGGACTAGGAAAGGGACCCTCAGACAGAGCCAGGCACCTTCTCAGGTGCAGCCTCATCCACAGCCTCTCAGAATCCCACCTCCTGGGACTGCCTGTGTCCACCTGGCCCCAGATTGAGTGGGGACAGCTGTGACTAATGTCCCCACATCCTCAGGCACTGGGAGCCTCTGTCACACCTGGTGTGGCCCTGTCACTGCTCTAACAGAACTTGCTGATTCATCAGTGAATAAACAAAGGTCCAGTCAGAGGCCAGGACCCATGGAGCTGTAGGCCACCTCCTCTCCTCTCTGGGACAAAGCTCAGGAAAGGACAAGCAGAGCAGGGACTTCCCTGTGAGCACCAGTGACTCCAGAGACCCTTGCACCAGATTTTGGCCCACAGACTTCAAACTCACATCTGGGTGGCAGAACTCGCCCTCCTCACCAGGAAGGAGTGTGGCCAGGACCCGGGACCACACTGCGGGAGCCATCGGCACCTCTCAGACTGAAGCCTGCCAACATGGTTTAACTCCCACCAGGGCAGAGTCTGGGAGACACTTCTGGTCCTGGAAATCACATTCAGCCTTTCCACTGGGTTACATCCTGAGCCTCTGTTTTTGTTGTTTAATTTTTTAAAACTCTTTATTTATTTATTTAGTACAGGGTCTTGCTATGCAGTTTAGACTGTAGTGATCCTCCTGTCTCAGCCTCCTCAGTGCTGGGATTACAGGCGTGTGCCACCCGGCCTAGTTTCAACGACTGGCACCAGGCATGCCTGGGGTTCTGGGCAGATGCAGCATGTGCTTCCGGCTGTCAAACTCAGGTCCTGGCGCTTGCCAAGCAGGCACTTAGACCCCTGAGCTATCTCCCCAGCCCCTTGTTGTTGTTTTTCAATCTTCAGACAGGCAATTTACTAAATTGCCAAGGCTGAGTTCAAACTTGTGAACTCGCGCCTTAGGCTCCTGGCTGCTAGGATTACAGGTGTGTCCACCACACCTGGCGCGAGACGTGTTTAACCACACTGATATATTTCAAGTCTGTTGCTCCTACATAATGTGTTATGGAAGGGAACAAAATTTTGATTCATCTATTTTGAGGTGATAGTTTTCAAAAACAATAGAGCCTTAAGAAAGAGACGCGCTCTATTGTCTTTCTGAGGTTGGTGTGACACTTTATGTATACTGGCTTTTGGGCCCATTTGTTTGTCTACTTGTTTGCTTTGGGACAGGGTCTTAGGCTGGCCCTGAACACACTGTTGCCTAACTGACCTCAGATTCGTTGGCATCCTCCTGCCTCGACCCCCAGCTGCTGGGATCAGAGGCCTGACTGGCTGGCATTGGTGAAAATGGGC